GGAAGGTTAAAACCCCCACCCCCCCCCCCCCCCACTTTAACATATCTTATATTATATTAATAACTATATATTAATAATATAATACAAAGTAGTTAAATCCCCCGATTCGTGCACGATTCTACATATCAAAATGGGTGTCTCCCCTAACTAAACTCGACGTCTTGGACGCGCCGGCGCAGTCCGTTTTGTCATCCGGGGTTGCCCGAATGACTTCATCAACGGTCCAGTCGAAAACTCGTCAAAATTTAAATTCCTTCGAAATTCTTACTCGTGATCGATCGTAGAGCCTCCTATGAGTGTGGGAGACGTGAATTTCGATAACTATGTACATCGATGCGTGAATTGTGGTATTTGTGCATCGTTAGTGTGCGCGGACGACACGAAGGATTTCCTAGGGCTTTAGATCCTATGGGTACTCAACATGAGTTTTGTTGCGCTGGTTTTAATCGACTCAACTAAGTATTGAGAATTTTAGAACCCGTCACATGAAACTGCGAGAAGTCAAGAAGTAGCTTGAATTTCTAATCAATGTGGGCCCCAGGCTAGTCCTTTAAGATAGTCGGTAGGAAATCTTAAGGCTAGGTCCTAGGCTTTAAGAAAAGTAAGAGACCTCACCAAACATGAGATCAACAGTGGGTTCGATCCAGCGACCCACGTTTATTCTCTCTCGTCCGCGAAAATATTTACCACACGACCCCTCTCAACCTCGCTCCCTCTTCCACAATTCTTCTTCCCTATGTAGATACCTCCCGTGAATCCCTGGCTCCGATGGCTATTTTCAGTTGAGAGTGAGTATCCAGTGACACTAACATTCTTCTTTCTCTTCCGCTTGAATTTTGGTTATTTGTGCAATTTGTGCTCTGGTTTGGTAGATCACTTCGGTTGGTGGTTACTTCGGCTGGTTATTATTCCGTTGAGGTTTGTATTCTCTCATCCCCTCTCCATTTTCTACTTCAGCTCGATTTGGTGGTTGTGCTGAGTTCGCTTTCTTTTCTCTTTACTCTATGTGGCCATGCGCACTATGTTAGTTTGTTTCATCACTTAGCTCAGTTTTGGTGGTTCTTTATTTGCTCATTTTTTGTGGTTTTCTGTTTGATATTCTCGGTTATGTGTTTTAAGTCTAAGGTTCACACAGGGGAAACGCTCGGATTCGATAGAAGTGTTCGACGAAAACTTCCTAACCTAGAGACCATCTCTAGGTAATCAACGGCCAATCCAAGGGAGTGTAGCCCCACCGACTCACCCCGTGTGGGCGATCATACCCAATACGCCTACCGTAAGATAACCTAAGATCGACTGAGAAAGAAAACGCAAAAGTTTTAGAAGTTACACCGTCGCGAAGGTTGCGACATCCCCGCTACTTGCTCCGAGCTGTCGATGTCCAGTTCACGCGCCGACATACATCACAAGAAAAACAAAGAAATTTGTAGAAGAAGCAGTTTAGCATGAGATCACAGAAATATATGTACGAATATGCAAATTGATAAACATGCAAACGACAAAGTGTATTAAATACGCATGTCATTCAAGTTTCTCTCTAGATTCATTCCTTGTCTCTTCTTTATTTTCTATACAATTATATCAATTAAGTCTAGGTATTGTCCACAAACAAATTTGAATCAAACCCATGATAATTCAGGTCAATCAACTTTTTCTTCCAAACCACTGACATTAAATTTATACACCCATCTAAAAAACATATTTTACTATGTTTTGTTTGTATCGAAATCGCACAAGTCTAATTTAAGTTGTTATAATAATTTATTGATTTTTTAAGAACCCCTGAAAATGAGATAAGAAATCATAATGCTTATCGAGCACGAGGACATGAAGGAGATTGACAATTCTCATATGGCTTAAAAAAGTTTGGTTTGACGGTAGCATGTTCACAAAAAAAAAAAGGTTAAGAGGACAAGTTCACTCAGAAATGGAACAGCTGAAATTCTACTATTTGGTAATCCATGTAGAAAAGCGGCAACATTTCAAGATTTCAGAATCGAGCAAGTGCCTCAAGACAACAATACAAGAAATAACCTTAGGTTAAATCCTGAATAACAAACTTTGAAACTTTAGAACAATCAATCTGGACGCAATTAATATCCAGAATCATGCTAGGTCGTTCAACTGGTATTTCAGTGAGTCATTTTAATTCGAAACCCTATTGCATAAATATACTATGCGTAATTTTTTTATTGCAGTTGCTAGAACTCTCCTACATTCCAAAAGGACCAAAACTTCGACATATAAATCTTCTTACATCTAATTGCCTTCGTGTATATAAATTCTTTTCTTCCGTCCAGAACATAAATATGCAACCTGATGAATACCTCTTTCAACGTGAATAAGTTCTAAAAATTTCCACTGCAGGTATTTCTAATAAAAAAAGACTATTATCAAATTCAATATGCTTGCACCTTGCGATGGTAGTGATTGTGAACGCCGTGGTCTCGTCAACGGAATCGTCGGCAAGAGCAGGATGTGAAGCCTGCGGATTCCGAACAGTAAGAACGGGAGAGGGAGGGACGGCTCGGGTCGTCGGCAGTGAGGAAGAGGGAGATCCGTTTAAATAGGTTTTTTTTTTTTTTTCTTTTTTTCATATACGTTTAAATAGGATTTCACAATGATTTCTTTTTTTCAATAGGCTTCAAAGATATAATAATTATTCTTATTTATTTCTTTAAAAGCCTAGATTTACCTATTACTAACTTTTACACGAAATCATTGTGAAATGAATCTTCTCCCTAGGTAAAATCGACTTTCTTAATGCACTTGTGAGGTACGTTTCGTCATCCACGATGATCCAGACAAATTCGTCGACAATCGAGTCAATTTAAGTTGGACTTCGCGTGCGGAGCGGTGAATAAGAATCTTTGGTCTGATCGGAGCGATCCGACAAAAAATGTGGGACGGTCTTTGTCTAAGCGACGGTCGAAGTCTAACAGAACGATCTCGGTAGCGTGTCTCTAAACACATCGAATAATCTCAAATAAATGTCAAACATGAATCAAATTTGGTTTTTTTTTTTAATTTTGGTTTATGATTTATTCTTTTAAAAATTAAATTTAATTTTGATTTAATGGTGAATTGTATATAAGTGTGAATTTGTGTGGTGCTTGTGTGTGAATGTGAATGTGGTATGAATTGTGGTGTTTGTATGTGTTGTTTCAATGAATGAAAAGTCCTAAGTTCAATGGGTCTTTCTAAGGCATTTACAATCCTTATAGAAACTCAACTTGAGTTTTAATACATTGGTTCCAATCGACTCAACTAAATGTTGAGAATTTGAAACCATACAAACGAGACTACAAGGAGTCAAGAGTTGACTTGAATTTCTAGTATGTGTGGGTCCCAATACTAATCCTCTAGCAGGGTCAACGGGGAAGTCTCATTGCAAGATTTCAGGCTCTAAAGAGGGAAACATATCTCACCAAAAAAGAGGTCAACACGCGTGTTCAATAATATTAGATTTCAAACTAACTTGGATAATTACCTCATTAGAAAAAAAACATGTTTGTTCTGAGGACTTGTTCATATCCATATTATTGATCCATGTCCAGTGGGGTACTTTGATACACAACTTCTCATAACATTGTCCTTAACAAAAATGACTTTGTTTGTTTCTGAGGACTCCTCAGCGATTATTACTTCGCTAACGCTTGCATAAGCACCTATGAGGGTTAGACCTAGTGTCTTTCAACTCTTCTGATATTGCACTTGACATGGTTGATTCTAAATCACCTCATCATAGGAATGCAGTATTGATCTAGACCACCCTAATGATTTGGAGAATCCATGTCTAATCAGAACATATGAAGTACAAATTAAATATATGTGACCTCTCTGATAGTAGTCATCTTATTACAGTCTTGATAAAAACACCACATTTGGGTTGAGCTAATTTGTTTGACCAGTATACCCTAAAATTTTGGGCACCTCAGTAGATATTACTCATCCTATAGAAAGATATGTCGCATCAGTTGAAGCATTTGGCATATGCAATATGATCTGTGTCCAATCGGATTACCTTAATATCTGATAACACTTTAGCTCCTCAACAAAAATTACCTTACTAAATCCTAAGGAAACTCCAACGAGAGTTACTAACCTTGAGGTCAAACCACGTGGTATATCCAAACCTCATAAAATCTCTAATCCGCTCAGTTGACTTTGCCCCCCTTGTCAGGATTTATGTTGTATTGGTCAACCAATCTCTGGTGATTGAACCAATCCATGCTTTGTTAGAATATCTCGATATCTAACAATATCATGAGGTTATATGTGGTAAGAATTGCCTTGATTGCATCTTACTAAAGTACCTTGCTAGTTAGTCTAGCATACAAATTAACTAGGATATTTTGGGCTTTTCGCTGCTTGGTTTGATTTTTAATGTTTTTCGTCAATGAGAGCCACATTGACTCTGTAGTCAGTTCTCTATGCATGGGCATCTATAATGGTTGAGATTACTCATGCTAATCTAACCTCTTCTATCAATTTGATTACATTGTTTAGTTACTCTGATGTTATCTCTGGCAAGTGCATACCTTAGTGGTTTAGAGATGATGTCTAAATTAATAGAACTAATAAGCTTTTTAATGGTTAGCCCTAAATCCATAGAACTAATAAGCCTATTCTGCTAGTTTTAAAACAAATAATTAATAAGATTTTACAGCCAATTCTTGAAATTCGTAGAACTAATACACCTTTACAACTAGTTCTTAATGAGAATTAATAGAACTAATAAGCCTCCATCACTAGTTCTTGAAATATAAAGAACAAATAAGCCTTTACAGGCCAGTCCTTGAAAAGGTTTAGAACTAGCAAGGTTATTCGAACAGTTCTAAATCAATGGAACCAGAGAAGCCCATTTGTCCAATTCTTAATCACTGGAATTACAAATTTATTAAACCAGTTTTGAAGTCATTAGATCTTAGCCTATATGGCGTGTTCTCGATAAAAATCAGCAGAATTAGCAAGCCTTTAAGGCCAGTTGTAAATCTTTAGAACTAACGAGCCCTTATGGTTGGTTTTTAAAATCAAAAGAGTTAATAAGCCTTCATGGCTAGTTCTTGAAAAAAAAGAAGTATTAAGCTTTTTATGTTCAGTTCTTGAAAAACTAAAGAGCTAAAAAGCCTTTATAGGTTGGCTCTTGAAAATATTTAGAACTCGTAAGCCTTTTATGACAAGTTACAAATCAATAGAACTATCTTATTTGGCCAGTTCTAAAATAAAATAAAAAACTAGTAAGCTTTTGCAACCAATATTTAAATTTCTTTAAATTTAAATAGCTATTAAGTCCTTACAAGGCAGTTCTTAAAAAATTTCTAGAACTAACAAGCCTTTGTAGTAGTTTCAAAATCATTAGAAATAACCAAACTTTACAACAAGTTATGAATTAATAGAACCAATAAGCCTATTTGGTCAGTTCTTGATGTAACAGGCAAAAATAACAAGTTTATTTGACCAGTTATTGAAGCTATCTCCTCAACCGTTGTGAATATGGTCTAGTAGAGACCACTTTTATCTATTTTTTTGAAGCAAGTTCAATCATACATTGGTTTCCTTTTTTACTAAAGTAGAATTGAAGACTTGGAACACTTGAGATGACCAAGCCTTCTGAATTGACTACACTGCTTAAGTCACTGGTTAATTACCACTTTAACCAAGAAAACAAAGCCTTAAAAGGCTACCAGATTAGTGATGGGTGCTTCACTTCACAATAGACACATTTAATACTTGTTCAAATCTCTACAAGGAGGCATAATAGATGACTTGAATTACACGAGATAATCTAGCCTTCTAATCTACTATTACAAATATGGCCAAGTAGAGATTATTGTTGTTCTATTATTTAAGACTATAGGTCCAACAAACTGGTTATTGTTCTTCGTTTGCTGACATAAATCTAGTCAAGTAGGAGCTAAGAATTCCTTCTCTACCGTTGCAAACATAGTTAGGTTGCAACCACTTTTGTTTATTGTTTTGAAGCAAGGTCAAACACACATCTTTTGTTCAGCTCATTATCTGTCATTATGAGCGAGGTAAAACAAATGATGAACTTTTTTTGGTTCATTTTTAGTTGACCGGGAAATGCTGATAACCCAATTAACCTTGGCTCAATTAAAAATTGATTCTCTTCCGACAAGGACATTATGCCTCAGTGGCATAACACACTTGTTAGGATCCTTTGTTGGAATCAATTTTTGATTTTACACATGTAGGTTGTCCACATGAATGACAGAAACTATTCATTATTCACTTGAAGTGTTTCATAGAGCTATACATCCATCTAGGCCTCCCGGTATGTGTTTAAAGCACAAAACCAGGGTTTGAGAAAATTTAGACTTCCTCGGGAGTGCTCACTATCAAGTGGCATAAATTTTGACATAGGACACTTATGTTGTCCACTGTGATGTCTAAAGGTCATCTACCATCGATCTAGAAGCCTCCCGTGGTTGAAGGGAGTCATAGGACCTTCCCACATATGTTTTGGATAAAATTGGGGGTTTAGACCAATTTACCTATGTTGTGGTTCAGGGCATTTGTTGATAGTAAAATCCCTGAAAAAAAGCCAGTGAAAATTCTCATTTTTGCAGTTATGGGACAATATTTTAGTTAAATTTAGTCTCCTAAAGCTTTCAAATCAAAGAAACCTTCCACCGAACATTTTTTTGTGAAAATTGGGGTTTTCAGTGCAGATCAGTTCTTAGGCGCCAACCCCCTTGCGCCTAAGTACCAGTACAGGGCACCTAGGTGCCCAAAATAGCCCTAAGGGGCCAAAAAATAAGAGCCTAAAAAATAGGCACTCAGTCCCAGGTGCCTGTGCACCAGCCCCCGAGCTGAAGCGCCAATTTCAAGAGCCTAAACACCGGCCTACAGCAAAAAAAAGTTTAAATTGTTGAATTTTGGTCTCCAAATGATTTCCCAATACCCCATTAGGATGGGTTTAATTAAGAGGTCCAATTGTAGCTCTCCCTTCGCTGCCAACATCCCAAGAGGCCAATGGAAGGATGTCAAATGGAAAAGTTATGCATGAGAGGAAACTTTCCCTCCTTTTTTCTTGGCTTCAAGTAGCCAATATGAAAATGAGTAGGTAAGTGTCCATTTCAGTTAAGTAGAAAGCTTCTTGGAGAGCAAGAGAGTTGTGGGAGAAGGCCTTTTTATTGAGTATTTTTTTCCCCTTCTTTTCTTACCCTTTCTTACTCCATTCTCTTCTTCACATCATCCTTCCACTCATTCTTTCTTGAGAGTGTGAGTGAGTGAGGACTATTGAGTGTTTTTTTCATAAGAAAGCTTCATCCACTCTTAGGATAAGGTTGAAGAGATCCATCACTTCTAAGAAGGAGAATGTCATCCCCGCAAAGGTAGGAGCAAGGACAATCAAAGAAAATGTGACACTATTCATCACAAAGGTGAAAGTTCCTGAAAGAACTATTGTATATTTTTTTCTTAGAGCCCCTTAGGCTAAATGTTAGATATCTAAGGAACTATGCTCTATGTTAAAAGAAAATCCCCTTAGGATAGTAAGCTTTCGATAACCGTAAATCCC